CCTCTCTCTCTCTCTCTCTCTCTCTCTCTATCTTTCTCCTTCTTTCTCTCTTTATTCTGACTCCTCTTCTTTCGTCTCCCTTCCTTTCCGAGGGAGAGAGAGAGAGAGGGGCACTACGACCCGAGAGAACGTAGCTTGCCCATCTACCGGTGGAAGCGCCGGCCGGCGACCACTTCTCTTGCCTTACGAGTGTTATGAAACGATTCCTGCCTTCTTCCTTCACGCTGCCAATTTATAGGTTTAATTACCGTCTCGTGGCGCGGCGCAACGCGACGCGACAAGATGCTCGCTCTTCATGATACTCATCGGGGGGAAAATATCGAACTTGAATCACACGACGAAGCGTGCGATTTAATCTGTCGGACTACTATATTAATCGACGATAAGCAATTTGTCCAACGCAGATATCGCTCGAGTACGTCGCCGTGGTATTGGTGGCGCGTTCGCGCGCGCCTATCTCACGCTCAACCCCTTCGCAACCGCCATTTTCAAACGTGGATATACTTTTTTGCTTATGTGCCTGTATGCAAATATATCTACATGTCATATCGTGCGTGTTATAGCTGATTTCACCCGCTGAATCTTTTTAGCTTATCGAGTTTGAAGAGAAGAAATTAATGAAGTGATCCAATCGCGGATGTAAAAATAATTTTAAATCACAAATACATTTTCAATGATCAAAATTAATCCAGAAGAAATTCATTAGTGGCACCTGCAGTCAATAATCATATATTAGATTGAGAAAAAGTTTGTCGAATAAATTGAAAAAAAATTGGTCAACTTTTCCGTAAAATTTTAACAAGTTTGCTGATTTGAAAAAATTAAAACCACGTATTACCGGGATAGAAGAAGATTTAAATTGCTAGAAAATTAGGAATCAGTTTCAAGTGCAATTTCACTTTCAGCTCTCAATCTAATAAAAAAAACTTTGCAACGAGCTCAAATTTTTCTCTCGGCGAAAAAGGGCTCGGAAAGGGTTAATGGAAGGCGAAAAGCGCGATGGCAGGACGGAGAGGAAATGGTCCGCGATGGACCGTGTTGTACGAGGGCAGCCTTGAACATAACTCGGTAGGGCCGGACGGACTCCAGTGTGTGTGCACCTCCGGCAAGTAATGAGCCAAATCCATTACAGCAGCAGCAGCAGCAGCAGCAGCCGCGACGCGCAACGAGCCAGCAACACCGTAAGCTAACCATACCACGCATCCAACTCTGCCACGGACTCCCATCTTTTTCCCCGCTCATCCTTCCCATCCGCTGGTACCCGTCCGTCCGCGATCTATACGTATGCCTATGCCACGCACGTACCGTGTCGTTAACAAGCACCTAACCAATGGCACCGGTTCGGTACCAATTCCAATTATAGACCACGAGCGCATTCTGCGCAGCTCTAGTAGTGTATAGAGCACCGGAGGAGCGTCCGTATCTCCCTCCTCCTCCTTTCCTCTTCCGGTTTACGCTCTCCTCATCGCACACACCACCGTGTCTTTCGTCACCGCCGATTGCGGAACCAATTATGCTGCCAGCGTCGAGTGAATGAAAAATTCGAGGGGGCGAATGCATTGCCGGCGAATTACCGTGGGATTTGTCACGGTATTCGCAAGATATCTCGCACGATACTCGCAAGGTCATAATACAAGGCGGAGACAACATCCGCCGCCATCGTCGCCGCCGCCGCCACCGCTGTTACGATCGAGACGGTGCTGGTCGAGTGGCGCCACGCAATTGTCAATTAACATTTTTACCGGCGTGTAAGAAAACACGAAACTACATACCATGAAGCGGCATATCTGCGCGGGGTGAAGCTCGATGGGGTTCGCGAGGGACCGCGAAAGCGTCAGTGCGTGGAGTTACGGACTCGTTACGTGTTACTAACACATTATATACACAGTTAAATAACGAACAAATAATTGTACTCACCAGCTAGGGTATTGAACTTCCTTCCACCCACTGCAAATCCCGCCTTAGACTGCTCCGCTACAGCTCTATTGAAGAATTGAATATCGGAAGTTCGTGCTAAGTTACTCAGCGCACTATCGAACGGAAATTAATCCGAAAATCACATCGCGATACACGGAACGTATAACGATTAGCACGAAGTTGAATACTACATTTTACTTGCTTTACATCTCGTGAAAAGTGCACCGTGCACTCATAGTTCTTTGATTCTCCGTGTCGATTTCAATGGTGCGTAAATCGCGAACTCTAACCAATATATTTCGACAATTGCTAATCATTTTAATCGGTTTTTTTTTTCGCACTTGTTACACTTTTTACGGTTAAAATGTACGATTAATCACGAGCCGTTTCAACTAATGCAACGTAAACAATAACTGTTATGACAAAATGGCGTGCAACAGTGATACCAAAATGCGCGGTATCACTGGCGCGCACATCAATTGGCAACATTTTAATATCGATATATCGACTTCGAACAGTCTAAAGCGAAATATGCAACAGACGGAGCAAAATGCAATACCTGTTAATGAATAAAATTATTTTTTCGTTATTTAAATATGCACATAATTTTGTAACAACGTACACATGCATAATTCCAATTATAATTAAACTTTTAGTTTTTGTAAAGAAAAAGCAATTGCAAGATTCTACACTATTAATGTATAACAATTCTGTGAAAATTGATTAAAAAGGAAAAATAAAATAAATGCGTTATTCTAGCAATGCAAAATTATGCAACTGAAGAATTCGCTCCGGTTTTATTTACGAAAAATGCAGAATATTAACAATACTCACCCTATTTTAGTGATGAGCTTCCCGTGAACGTGGAGATACGAAGTAACGAATCGTTTGTTCACCTAAAAAAACCAATTAAAATATGAGTATCAGTAAGGAATAGATAAAATGTTGTAATTAAACATGTTAACAATAAAAGTAAAAATCAGTAAAAACAATATATTAGTTTTATCAATCAAATTAATATTAATATAGTTATCACTCGTGCTTATCAATCATTTGTTTATTAATATATTGGTTTTATCAATCAAATTAATATTATTATCAGTCATCATTAACGTTTATCAATTATACACAAAATCATCTAAATATATACATCTATACAAGTGTTTTAAAAGAATTGTAAATGCTTAATAAATGCGCAGAATTTTATTGTCCAATGGCAAATATACTTTCGACAAAAAAATCTTTAAAAGCTCTTAAATAAGTATGAAATCATAATCGAAATAGATACCTCGACACTCGTTAATTGCGATAATTCCTCCAAGTCACTTGTGTGGGACAGTCTGGCCTCGATGATTTCGCTCGTTGTACGCCGCACTCGTCTACCGTCGCCTGGATGAATCCACGTCTCTCTTCTCAGCCCGCCGCCGATTATGTTCGCGCCTTCTTTCTCCTTCATCCTTGCCCGCTCCTTCGATTCTCTCTCTTCCTTCCGCTTACGTTCGATAGACTCGTACTAAGAATATTGCGTTTACTAAGAGAGTACCTCTCCGTGTGTGCGTGATGCATTTAAACGAATGCAGTGCATAATTTGGCCTTTACAACTGTGTATATTACATTTGCCATTATACTTATGCACGTCTTCGCCATTGCTGTTCATGTACAGGTGTAAAGATAGCACAATGTTATGTAGAGTGTCCAGCGACCAATTTCTTTCACCTTTGTAACTTGTGATTTATTTAACAAATCAAGAAATTGCGAAAATTAGTGCTACTAATCGCCATCAATTCTACTAATCACAAGATTTTATCATTGAAATAAAGGCACCAATGGTTGCTGAACTCCCTTTAATAAATCAGCTAGTCATACAAATAAATAATCAGCTAGTCATACAAGGAGCATCTATGAAACAATATTTATGTTCTTATGTTTCTTATTTGTAGAAATTCCTGCATCTACGAGAAGTGCATGCTGACAAAATGTGCAGAGCTGTAGCAGAGATAAGAAAAGTCGAACTTAAATGTACAGCAAAGCATTTCTGGAAACTTGAGAACATTGGTTTTTATAAACAGGCAGCCTCAAAAAAGCTGCATGCATATCATTTAGCAAATGTTCTTGTTTCAAATTTTTTTTTCAAGTACAGCTAGCAACCTTTTTTCGGTATTTTTAGATTTTTGTATGTTTTCCTTTTTGTGACATTCTTCATCTTTGATTGAAGCATTATTCGCACGAGCGATTGACGTAAAAATAGCTATTAGTTAATGCGAAATATATGCAAGAATAATATTTACTGTCTTAACTAGTAGTTGTGCAAGAGGCTATTCGCCACCATGAGTTAAGAGAATATAAAGATTTTAAGTGCACAGATGGCTCGAAATGTCAAGGCTCAAAAGCACGCAAAATATAAAAATCTCAAATAACTAGCAATAAAATAACAAACAAATAATAAAGCCTTGACCAAATAAATGAATGATGAATGAATATCTAAAGGGTTCACACCAAGTATCAAAATTTACTTACATAATGTAGATACTGGCGGCAAAAGAAAATTAAAATATTATTAACGTTAGTATAAAGACAAACGGTTTAACGATACATTTGACAAGTTTCCTTACCTTCTTTCTGTTTTCGTCGAAGAGCGCTATGAGACTTTCTCTAGCAGAGTGAAACGGATTGGACGCCATAAGAGATCGCATGTAATAATATACAGCATCCAATTTCCGTCTCTGAAAGGTCAGTAAACATTGAGAAATGTGCGTTGAGTTACACATTCATCACAACAAATGTAATATTATGAATACATACTGCATAATGTGCTAGTAAGGCAAGCTGATTGTAAGGTCTGCCATTTTTAGGATTGATTTGCTGGGCTTTGAGATACCATCTGTGGAGAAAAAAAGGTTATGTTAAATATTCCGAATGTTTGACATCATTATTACGTCACATCAGTATGAATACTCACTGCCTCGATTTTCCATAGTTACTCGTTTCGTTTGCTTGCTCCTTGTATCTCGCCAAGTCTCCCAAGAACAGAAATATCTTTTGCGCGCTGACTAAAGCCAGTCCCAAAAGTCCGAGACCTTTAGGTAAGCTCGACGACGCAAGAAATGTGTCCAACTTGAATTCGTACGTAGTTTCAAGAGTGGTCAATAAACTTTCCAGATAAGTGGTGCCCTCGTCAATGATATTCAACATTATCTGCTTGTAGTGCTCTCGTCCTTCCGAATTCTCTTTGGGCATCGCTTTTCGCAACATCTCGATTAAATTATAAAACAATATCTTCCAAAAGTGTTGCTCGACGTTCTCCGCTTGGCAGAACTTGATATCGGTCTCCAGTAAGATTTTCAAGCTCAGTTGAAGGAAGTGTCGTATGTATGAGACTCTTTCCAAACGCGACGTAAAGCCACCGGAACTTAATATCCATTGTAATTCCAGATCGGCGCGCTCTATGTCCAAGAGAAGGCAGTGATTCTTTGCTGAGTGAAAACTATCGGGACAAACAATATTATATTATACAAAAGCATAACGTATAACAATATTTAGACATCGTATAACGACAAATAGATAATTAAATAACACGTACCTGGGTGAATACGGGTCATACCACGAAGGTCTCGTATTTCCGACTTGGTCGTTCATATACGGCGGTGGCATGCCGTCTAGTTGGGCGCTTTGGAAAGAATAATGCGACGATGTATTAGACTGGAATACCGGAACGCTAGAAACTTGCATATCGTTGTCCCTTAAAAAGAACAAAATCGCCATTTGTTAGTTTCTGCAGCTAATCAATCGAAAGAAAACGGGGTACGGTCAGAGTTTTACCTTTGTACAGCTGCTCTACTTCCAGGTGAGGTGATAACAATGGGTTTATGCGGGTTATTCGGGTCGAACAGCGTTCTCTGCTGTTGCCCGGCTCCTTGCTGAGAAGCTGAGATCGTTTGATTGGGCGGCGACTGATTAGCGTCATTAGGCAAGATCAAAACGCCCGGCTGAGCATTGCTGTATCCCGTTGGAGATGATCGATGCGCGGTTGAGTTCGAATTTGCGCTGGAAAGTGGTGCCGTGTGAGAGGAAACTTTAGGGGTTTGTCTCCCGTCGTCCGAATCGCAAATCGATATCTTTCTGCCCGTTCTCCAATCTTCATCTAAGTACCTATCGGTTCTGAAAAAGAAACATTCGTAATAAAAGATTATTCGCACTTGAAAATTGCGCTTGTGTACAATCTTTGAAGCAGTCAATACCTTCGTCTATGGAGATCGTCGAAATTTCTGTAACTGCTACCGTAACTTCTTTCTTTACTCGATTCCCGGCTACGTTGAATAATACTACGCCTCCTGTGATCGTACCGCCTATTGCTGTTATTGTTATTATTACTATTCTTTTGATTGTTGTAGTTGTTGTTCTCTCGATTCTGCTGGTTCTTTTGACGCTCGCGACTGTTGCCTCGTCCTTTGTCTCTGCTACTGGCACTTGAACAATTTCAAAAGTAATTACATTAAACAAAGAATTCTTTGGCGTACCGTGTCATACCGTCTCTTAATCGATAAAAAAGATTAGCAATATAGATGACAAAAAGATAATAATACAACAGTCATCTTTACCGATCGGTATCACGCTGCTTATCGCGCTTTTTCTTTTTACGTCGCTTGTGACTCTCGCCTACGGCCTGACTTCGCGGCATATTTGCGCCCTCGCGAATACTCAATACAGACGAGCTACGGCTTAGATGCTCCTGTTCTAATTTTTCGTTCAACTCAACCTCTTCACTCCAGTCCTAATTTAAAAAAAAATACAATTCTACACATTTGTCATTGAGAGAGAATACTTCAAATATTGATTTATTAACTTATTCGTATATTGATATGTTATTTATTTGTACTTACAAAGTTTTCAGATGCGGTATTAGATGATGGATGAAATGAATCGCTTTTTGTGAAACTATGTCTCATGGCTGATTGATTGCCCTGCTTATCCAGGCCAGAATTATGGTCATGAGTATTGCTGATTATAGTTCTTTGCCTTGATCAATAATAATTAAGTTATCAAACATGTGCAACAAATACAAGAGACAAAAATAAACGACTACTCGAATATTTCATTACGTGTTGCGATTGTTGGTCGGTGATAGTGTGCCTTTACGATGACTTTCGGGTGACCTGTGGCCTTTATTTGAATTCGATTGCGACGTTGCGGGCGATGCGGACGATGGCGGCGGCATCATTACGCTATCGGCGCGGCTCAAGCTTTCCATGCTGGTGTACATAGTGCTGTTACTACCGCGACGATCGTAAGACCTGTTAGCCATGAATCTTGTTACGTTTCAATCTTGCACATGTTACGTACTTCGCGTTGCGTCGAAAGATCAAATGTAAATACGAATAAATATTGCTCGTACCGATTCATATACTCCTGGCTGGGTGTATGGGATCTTGAGCTCGGCGCGGAGTACTGTTCAGGAGTTACAGGTCTAAAAACGCCACTGGCTGTACCATCCATGTCCTCGGGTCTGAGTCTACCTCTTCCCCTGCCTCTCACCGGTACGGTGTTCGCCCAATGAGATTGTGGCGGTAAAGGCCCGGATGGCGGCAAGCTTTGCATCGTTTGCGAATGTTGAATCGCTGGTGGATAATTGTAACTGGATGATCCCTGCGAGAAATTCGTGTTGCTTTAGTCGCAAATCGCCATATTCGACAAAAATTGATCGACAGATCTCTACCTGAAATACAACACTGGTACCATTCCAACACTCCTCTGCGGACGTTCCCGGATTATTACTGGGCAACGCATATCCATTGTCAATGAGATATTTCTTTTGCAATCGTGGTGGCAGAGATTCTAACTTGGTATTTTTCACCAAACTTTCTTTCCCATTGTTACGCCTGCCCGAGGGTGGCTTCCCTTGAAACTTATCCGGATGTCCAGCAGGTTCCACACTGCGCGTGTCTCTCGTACGATTAAAATCATTCTGGTTGGTCACAGATAAAGGTTCCGAGCCCTGGTAAGGCGCAAAAAAAAAGATATTTTCTAAATTCCGCAATTATTTCTAATTCAATTAGATTGTTTTGATTCGCACGTACTTGTCTAACTTCGCGCAGATTGTCCTTTCGATTCGCACAGTTTTTAGCCGACACTGGCGAATCGAATCGCCAACGCTCCTCGTTCTCGTTGGCGTGACGATGTCGGCGATTACCCGAGTATCGTTTACTGTTGTCCTCTCTACCTCTGCCTTCATTGTTATTGTCTCGCGCACTGTGAAAGCTCGGGCGGTTACGATCGCTTTTATGACTACGATTGGAGTGGGAGTCACGATCATCGCTGTCTTCTCTCTCTCGTTCCAAAACATTGCGACTGGGAGATCTGAAAAAAAAAATTAATAACTGCTATTATAAAATAATGTAATAAATAAGTACTGTTACATTGTCCTCTTACGACAGAGATTATTTGTATTTCATAATTATTTTTCACATCTCACATGAATGGAAGCAGAATTGATTAATTACCTATTCGATCCATCCATCTCCATTGCTTCCTTTACTTTTTTCGGTACATACAGCAATTGCTCAGGTTTTCTATTTTTCCTTTTCGGATCATTTCCTCCTCCGCTACTATTCTGACCAATGCTCTGTACGGATTCATTGTTGCTGCTACTTCTATAGTCAATATGGGTATTGTCCAGTTTTTCTGTTACATTATCAATTTGTGATAAAGGTGGACTATCCTGTGCTTGATTGGACCGATTGGATTGTGGCTGTCTCAAACGATTTTGGATGGAGGTTGATCTGGATTTTTCTTGCGCGCCGTTTTCGTTGTCGTATTCATCAGTGACGCTACTGGATCTGCCTGACTTACGTAAAGGGCCACTTCCTGGTCTGTATAAGGCCTGGGATGCTCTATTCCCTCCGCCACGCATCCCCGCCATTCTATCTTTCTCTACCTTAGAACTCATCAGTTCTGAAAATTAATTTTGGAATACAGTTCATAGAAAAAAAATTGTAATCAATTTTTTTTCTATACAATCATGATTATTTTATTCAAATATCTTACATATATCTCACAGTTATTTTATTGATTATACATATAAATAATTGTTGAAAACATTTCAGTAGAAATTTCAGTAAATGTTGCATATAATATAATAACAATGTTTTTTTAAATAAATAACGATATATTATGTACACTGTACATATAGTATATATAGTATATATGTTATAATATATTTTAAATCGATTTTTTTCATTATTTCTATAGTACAATGACAAAAATACAGCAACAAAGATTGATCTGTTCTGATAAAAATGATATTAAAACAAATATTTTACATGTATCTAATTTTTGCGTAGACAGATAATTATGGATAAAACAGTACTGCAATACCATAATAATGTTCCCCATAAAACATCTTTGAAAGATTCTTTAGTTGAATGCAATATTATACACACACAAACACACACAGATGAGAATGTGACACAAGAGAAGATAAAGAAAAATTCAATAAACATTTGATGCATCTTGGGGATCATATAACAAAAGTCGTTTATCACTTAATGGGTATAGCAAAGTTAGAAAATCGGGACGGCAAGATATCAACTTTTGCGGAAGCACAAGAAATCATTTGTGTTGACATTCTTGACAGTACTGAAATTTACTATGCACAGTGCATCTTCGAAAAAAAATACTATCCAATTGAAGACCATTAGAGATCAATGATATCAAATTTACTTTATTAGCTAAGATCCATCGTGATCGCCGAATTCAATCATCGCGTCGTTAAACGCCATAAAATAACGCGACATCACAGTGCTGTGTTATAGGTTAGCTTGTTTAGTGAGGTTAACTTTGCACATCAATCCGAGCCGCGAGGAAGCTCACAAATTCGGTCCGGAGTTAGGTGTGCAAATATAATCAACGGCAGCACGACATCGTTTCGTCGCAATCGTGAAAAAATAACATTTTTGTTAAAGTACCTTGTGAAAATCCTCCCCACTTTCTGCGTCCTTTGTCGCGGTTCGCCATATTGAAATACAATCGCTCATGCATCGCATGCAATCGTATCGAGACTTTTTTCACACGCACTGACATCCATGAACGAAATGAAACATCAGATGCTGTTCTGTATATCGTTTTCTGTGCTATAAAGGTGCTTTTTCACGTTGCACTCAATCAAAAATAACCAACTGCTGTGGTAGTTTTTGGTCACGTGATATCAGAATTGTTCTTTGCGTTGAATTGGTTGAATTTTAAATATTGAGCATAGACATAGTAAGTATAGACTACTCGTTCCCTATTTCAACGTCTAAGCGGAGCCATTGAGTAAAAAGAAACAGGAGGGAGCATATACTAGCCAGGACTAGGTAAATCCGCGGACGGATGTACGTCATGGCAGCCATCTTGAGCGACCACTTTTTGAAAGTGAGAGGGAATGCTTGAGCATAGCGGCAAGCGGCATACCGTACGCTGTACGCATTAATATGCAGTGTATAAGTCTTTTATGCAACAGTGTATGGAAATAAACGATCAAAATGGTATACTGTAGAGCTTGTGGCATAACAGCAGCAGCTCGAAATCATGGAATAACGTTTCATCGGTTAGTATTATCAACAATAATGAGATTTTTATTTTGGAGATTATAATTATATGTATAGTATTGTGAAATTGTAGATTCACAATAATTACTAAATAATTTTCACTCACAAACAGGTTTCCGAAAAATCCGGATCAAAGAAATGCATGGATAAATTTTTGTAAGGACGAAGGATTTAATATAAATTTAGATTTTAGATTTTAACATTGCTCTTATGGAAATACTGCACGAGTGCAATTCTAATGAAAAACGCCATTAAGATTTGGTATTATTGTTGCATATTATAGTTATTTTCTTTAATTGTACATTATTTCCTAATTAAACATAACAAGTCATTCAATATTGGCGCTCTTGAGCGGCCATCTTGAGCGACCACTTTTATATAGTCACTTCCGTCCGCACTTTTAAGACCAAACGCTCCCTCCTGTTTCTTTTTACTCAATGGTCCGTTCTTATATTCAAAATCATCTTAAGCACGGACTTATATTCGTTCTCTTCGTCACACATAGATTGTGTCTGACGAAGAGAGCGAATATAATATGGGCGGTATTCATAGTCCGTTCTTATATTCAAAATTGTCTTAAGCACGGACTTATATTCGCTCTCTTCGTCACACATAGATTGTGTCTGACAAAGAGAGCGAATATAAGTTTGTGCTTAAGACGATCTTGGCCGGTATTCATAGTCCGTTCTTATATTCAAGATCGTCTTAAATACGGACTTATATTCGCTCTCTTCGTCACACATAGATTGTGTCTGACGAAGAGAGCGAATATAAGTCTATACTTAAGACAATCTTGAATATAAGAACGGACTATGAATACC